CATCTTCGTAAGAAGTGAAGCGCTGCTGAGCAAGTGCGTGTCCCATCGATGCAAATAAGTAGTAATCGGACGGAGCCAAGTCTGGTGAGTAAGCCGCATGCGAAAGTATTTCCCAACCAAACGCCTCAATCGTTTCCTTGACCAGTTTTGCTGTGTGTGATGGTGCATTATCATGAAGCAAAATCTCTTTACGTTGCCTTTTTGATATTCCGGTCGTTTTTCAGGCAAAGCTTGATTCAAATTGATCATTTGTTGTCGGTAGCGTTCAGTATTAACGGTTTCGCCAGGTTTTAACAGCTCATAATAGATCACACCTTTCTGATCCCACCAAACACAGAGCATTGTCTTCCGTCCATAGCAATTTGGCCTTGCAGTCGATGTCGATGGTTCGCCTGGAGTTACCCATGATCTTTTACGCTTAGGATTCTCAAAATATATCCACTTTTCATCGCCAGTCACAATTCGATGGAGAAATGACTTTCTTTTGTACCTGGCGAGCAGCATTTTGCAAGTGGTTTTTCGGTTTTCCTGCTGTCTTTAGTTCAGTTCATGTGGAACCCATTTTCCCATCTTCTGGATCTTTCCCATGGATTTCATACGTATGGAGACGGCTTCTCGTATGTCACATTCAATTGATCCGCGAGTTGTTGTTGAGTTTGAGCGTCATCCTCATCCAACAATGTTTGCAATTCGCTGTCTTCAAAGTTTTTCGGTGGTTTTCCACGTTCTTCGTTTCTCACGTCAAAATCGCCACTTGAATTTTTTAAACCACTCAAAGCACTGTTTACCAAGAGCATGCTCACCGTAAGCTTCGATAAGCATTCGATGCGATTCTGCAGCAGTTTTCTTCAAATGGTAACAGAAAATCATTGCTGTCCGCAAATCGTAGTTTCCAGGCACAAAATTCGACATGTTCAACGCTATTACAAACTATACTGTTGTATGAAACTTGTATTGTTGTGAGTTGGAAATCTTTGTCAGATGTCAGAACAAGGAAATGGCGTCAATGACGTGGTCTGACGGCAACTACATTGACAGTTATGGCCATCTATTGGTAAATTCCGGTTTCATATTTACATACCTGGTAATTGTGTAAATAAGTCCTTTGTTATAATCTTCAATACGTTTCGATCCTTGGTTCGGATCCTTTTCAATATAAACTAACTGGCGCGCGTCTGAGCTCAGATACGTAATGTACATAAAAAAAGGGGGTAAGCACACACGCAGCGATACGCATATACACGGTGTCGTCGCAAGAATCAAAAAAGGTATCGGCGAGAACAGAGAGACGCGGCGTTATGTGATCTGGGACCGGCGTCCAGTGATCTTAAATCGACTGCACCGTTAGGGGTTCGGCAAGACGGATTCTTTGTACCGGTGCCGCGAAGACCGGCGGCGCTTGTCACGGTCAGCGTCGCCGACGACCGGCGGCTCCTTAGATCGCCGATTCTCGGCCTTAGATCGACTGATCTCGAGTTTTTCCGATAACGACGGGAGGGGGCCGAGTCGTGATTTTTCGACGAGCGAGTCCATGCGGAAATTCATTCCTTCGAGGTCCGCAGTCGTGTACGCATCGCGCGAGGTTACGCGGTCGATTGGTAGTGACGATTCGTGTGCGTCGTGCGGTCGTGTGCCACCCTAGGCGAATACCCCAGGCGTTGTCCACGAAGGGCTCAGGGTGTTCGCCCCAGGCGTTTACAGTCGCGGCTCAGGGCGAAAGCCCCTAGGCGTTGCCGTCGGCAAAGACGTGAGTCACATCGAATGTAGCGCGAGATGCGATGACGAACTAGATTCGTCCGACTCTGTATTCGATTCATAAATACATACTTAATGAAACTATCAGTGCTGTAAGAGTTTTTATTCCCCCGACAATAAGTAAACTAACAAACACGAAAAGACAGTGCAACCGCGGACTGTGCTTGCGCTGATGTAACAGACACTAACTACTATCTACATCACTCAACTCCCTAAAACACTATATATCCATATGAATTTAACAATCAATTCTTAATTATTAAATAAATTTTAACTTAAAATTTAACATTTTATTTATATGATATATTGTTAGTTCTATAAGATTACAACGTTACTTGTCATATTGCCAGTCAACAAGCGAATGTCCTGTCTTACATATTGATACTCGTCATCTCATCAAATGACCGACAATTAGAATAAAATGGAAAGATTGAAAACTAAACTTTTGTAAATAAACAATCATATTTAAACGTTCCGTGTCCATTTGCAAATTCAAACTGTTTTCTTATCCACGTATATGAATCATTTCTTATATAAGTCTTTTATTTAAAATCATTTCTTTATCAAATGATGATTTTTTTTCACTGAAGATTTAAAGTTAAATAAATATTATCAGAAGGAAATAAGCAAATGAATAATAAGTTGGAGTGGTTAATATAAAAACATAATATGAATAATAATAAAGAAACAAGAACGATTAATTACACAGGCCTGCATGGTTTTGTTGATTGGGATTTAACTGTTTTCTTACGTAATTTTTCGCGCTGAATCCGAATCCGGCGGCAGAATTGCTCTATCACGTCAGGTTTTTGAGAAAAGTGAGGTTAAAGGTGTCAAAATTGACGTTTTTTGACATATTTGTAATTTTTTTGCTAGCGAAGTAAATTTTTTTTTCTACTTTCGTTTACGCCATCTGAAAGTGTCAACATTTATCTTCAAAATATATTTTTTTTTAACGCCGTACGTTTTTTTTCACCGAGATAATCTCTGTGTAGTCACACAAAGATAAACATTTTTGACAAAATGTTTGTGTGATTACGCAGAGATTAACTATGTTTTCTTACGTAATTTTTCGCGCTGAATCCGAATCCGGCTGCAGAATTGCTCTATCACGTCGAGATTTCGAGAAATCTTAACCCAAAACAGCCAAATAAGCCATTTTCAGCCATATTTGAAATTCAATTAAAAATTGATAAAATTTTTGTCGTCTAATCCATCGATGGTATCATTTACTACTATACAGCCCCTTCAAAATCCATGACAAAAGATAAAAGAATAAGCTAATCTGTCCAGAAATACCGTTTGTTCTAATACAACGGTATAGAGATTAGGCTTCTACGAGATACAATTTATCGAAATTCGAATTGCTGTATTTCCGGAAAAAAAATCGCTTTAGGACGGTCCAAAATGGATTTTGAAGGGGCTGTATAGTAGTAAATGATACCATCGATGGATTAGACGACAAAAATTTTATCAATTTTTAATTGAATTTCAAATATGGCGAAAATGGCTTATTTGGCTGTTTTGGGTTAAGATTTCTCGAAATCTCGATGTGATAGAGCAATTCTGCAGCCGGATTCGGATTCAGGGCGAAAAATTACGTAAGAAAACATAGTTAAATCCCAATCAACTTTCAACACCTCCAATTTTGCAGGCCTGTGTTATCAATGTAATGTGTATACTTTCAAAAAATTTGATGAGAATAAGGAAAGTAGTAGCAGGTTGCAATTGAATGAACATAATAATAAACAGATTGACACTTTCAACATACAAATTAATCCAATGGATTTTGTGAATGTTAAATATGATATCAATGAGCTCAATACAAAATGGTTTGTTAATATTACAAAAACATGTATTCCGAATTATGTGTAAACTTTGTTACAGCTTGGAAAAAACTTTTGTTTGCCATTGAAAAACCTTAAAGCGATCACGATAGACATAGTCAAAAACATAGAAAATAACTTTTATAGAATTAAAAATATAAATATTTCAGAAATAAGGAATAATTTTATTACTTATATTAATAGCTTGAACTTCAATAGAAATATGATGGAAAAAAAGTTATGTAATATGTTCAAAATAACCAATTAATTTTTGTATCAGAGAATCCGGATATTATATACACACATACGGATAAAGGGAACGTAGTGGTGGCCATGGAAAAATACGATTATGTAGCTAAAATGCAAGCTTTACTTGACGATACTGATACTTATTTATTAACCAATATATTTACGACCGTATATTTGAGAAACTCAATTAATACTAGGGTGTAACGGCCTATTACGGTTGGAGCTGGATCTTCGTTGCTTTAAATAATTCAATCTTGAATTACTAATATATACTATATATGTACTTGCATATATACCATATTGTAGTCTTTTTCAAACTGCGCGCCGAATTTTTTCCGGACTAAATAAACGCAATTAAAACTACTCTAGTAATCGCGAATTAAATTGACAAACAATTTAATAATTTGATGCTACAATCAAGCATCATATATTATAAAGATGTTAATCTATAAAAACTATTAATAAATTTATTGCGAAAAATATTACCTCGGCCGGGACTTGAACCCGGATCTCTTGTAAACCGTACGAGCGTCCTGAGCCATTAGACTACCGAGGCCAATTACTTATTTATTAATTACACGCAATCCAGTAAACAAGATAATCTTCAAGTTGAATGAGTTATGTAAGAGATGCAAAACTAAACAATACATTAATGATAGTAAATATAAATGGTTAAACAAATCGAATCCGATATTACCACGAGCATATGGAGTACCTAAAGTACATAAAACAGATAATCCGTTATGTATAATTATTTCTTACATAGGTAGTCCATTACACAATTTGGCCACGTACTTGCATAATATTCTCTCCATGAAAGTTTAGATAAAAATAAATATACAGTTAACAATAGTTTTCAAATCACTAGGAATATACAACAATTACAAATTAAAAATGAAGATCAGTTATACTCATTGGACGCAGTGTCTCTTTTTACTAACATTCCGATAGAATTGGCTATAACAGGTATTAATAATAGATAGAAAGAAATTAAAAGGAAAACTGTACTAACAAAAAAGGAACTTATCACAGCAATACAATTAGTGTTAGAGTCTACTTATTTTACATTTAATGACAAATTTTATAGACAAACATTTGATATTCCAATGGGCTCACCGTTGTCACCTATCATAGCAAATATTGTATTACAAGATTTGGAATATAAGTGTCTTAACAGTTTAACATTAAAATCTAGTTTCTATATGAGATACGTGGACAACATAGCGTTGGCGACCAACCATAATAACATAAAAAAATTTTACATGAATTTAATAATTATCACAAGCGACTTCAGTTTACATAGGAGGAAGGTAAAGACAGGCTAAATTTTCTGGATGTGACACTGATAAAGCAGAATAATGAGATTATTTACGATTGATATCAAAAAACAACTTCATCGGGGAATTTCTCAACTATTTTTCACAACATCCATTAACGCAAAAAATAGGAGTAATATTAGGTGTACAACTTTGTTTCTGCCGTTTTCCTATAGATGGCTTTAGTGTTGAGATTAATGTATAAAGAATAGGGCTATTTACCTTTTAATAGGATTTCAATAGTTATATACTATTTTAATAAATCATATGTCATATATATTGTATAATAGCAAATCAAATATATTTAATGAGAACACATGAGAAAGGTAGTTAAGAATACATAAGTGTAATACATTTTATAATTATATCAGTTCTGAATATGAGTGTAATGATAACAAGTTGAGTTTCACAAAGATGATTGTGCTTATACTAAACTTATCTTATAAATCCGTTATTGCAAGGCCTTACAACACAGAACGCGCCCGTCATGGTTAGCTAGCTCATTTCTATCGTAGAATAATTGATTCAAAACAAAAGAGCTTCAGAAATTATAAACAAGTTACTATGTCAACGCTAGTAATACCATCTTTTTAAAAAACAAGCGATCTATCAGAATTAGTTAGAAGCAATTACATAAAAGTACTATTTTCTAACATTTAGCGGTAAGTGATGGTCGAAATAAATAGATCATAGACGTCATACAATAAACTTGGGCATCTGTCAATATAACCCCATAGAAAGATTAGTCGATTTGTGTCTGCATCATAAAGTTACTCTCGATTGAAAATGTCAGTTTACGAGCCAAATTCTCGTCATTTGCGGGAGGTTTTAATTTTCTGCTTCAATATGAAGAAATCTGCGGCTGAGGATCATCGAATACTCTCAAATACTCATGGTGAGGCCGCTATTAGTGAAAGAACATGTCGTGAGTGATTTCAACGCTTCAAAAACGGTGATTTTGACGTCGAAGACCGGCATAGTGGTGGAAGAGAGAAGGTTTTCGAAGATGCAGAATTGGAAGCATCACTTGATCAAGACTCGTATCAAAATCAAGAAGAATTGGCACGATCATTGGGAGTGACTCAACAAGCCATTTCAAAACGCCTCAAAGCCATGGGAATGATTCAGACGCAAGGAAATTGGGTGCCGTACGAGTTGAAGCCGAGAGATGTTGAACAGCGTTTGTTTGCTTGTGAACAGCTGCTTGAAAGGCAAAGACGGAAGGGATTTCTGCATCGCATTATGACTGGGGACGAAAAATGAGTTTATTACGATAACCCCAAGCGCAGAAAATTATGGGGAGTTTCCGGCCATGCTTTTACGTCGACGGCCAAACTGAATATTCACGGCTCCAAGGTCATGCTCTGTATTTGGTGGGACCAGCTCGGCGTAGTGTATTATGAGCTGTTAAAACCGACTTAAACAATCGCAGACGATCGGTATCGAAAGCAATTGATGCATTTGAGCCGAGCATTGACAGACAAACGGCCGCAATACAACGAGAGATACGATAAAGTGATTTTGTAGCATGACAATGCTCGACCCCATGTTGCGAAAGTAATCAAGACGTACTTGGAAACGTTGAAATGGGAAGTCCTATCCCACCCGCCATATTCTCCAGACGTTGCTCCCACTATCACCTGTTTCGACCAATGGCACAAGGCCTGGCCGATCAGCACTTCCGGTCTTATGAAGAAGTAAAAAATTGGATCGATTCGTGGATCGCCTCAAAAGATGACCAGTTTTTTCGATGCAGGATTCGTACGCTGCCCGAAAGATGGGAGAAAGTAGTGGCCAGCGATGGACAATACTTTGAATCATAAAGGTATAACCAGTTTTTTACAATAAAGTCACGAATTTCGGAAAAAACGGCGGAAGCAAAGTTGTACACCTAATATATAATTTAATAGATGAGTTTTATTCTTATCTCATCCTAGATTTCATAAAAAGAATTTAGACAAGATCATAAAAATATTATTAAAGAATGGATATATATCCACTGCAGTTAATTATTAATACAATGAAGAAAAGAATTTGTAGTAAATTAAAGAAATGTAAACACAGTATTACGGAGAATAATGAAAATCAAGATAACAATAATATTAATAAAAAGAATATTAATCATTTCACAATACCATACATTGCATGCATAGCGAATAAAATTAAAAATCAATTTAGCAAATTAAAAAATGTTAGAGTAGCGTATAAAGATATTAACAAACTTAATAATATAATTAAGGTACAGAAAGATAAAATCAGTAAAATGTTACATAGTAATGTAGTATATAAGATATCTTGTAGAAGATTGTAATGTTACATATATTGGTCAAACGGGTAGAACGTTAAAAGCCAGAATATCTGAACATAAAAATTATATAAATTGAAACATGTAACAGAAATCAATAATTATGGAAAAATCGATTAGTTTTTTCACATGAATTTAAGTGGGATGACATAAAAATACTTGATGAAGAAATGATTTTAAATAAGACTTATATCAGAAATGATTCATATACGTGGATAAGAAAACAGTTTGAATTTGCAAACGGAACGTTTAAATATGATTGTTTATTTACAAAAGTTTAGTTTTCAATCTTTCCATTTTATTCTAATTGTCAGTCATTTGATGAGATAACGAGTATCAATATGTAAGACAGGACATTCGCTTGTTGACTGGCAACATGACAAGTAACGCTGTAATCTCATAGAACTAACAATGTATCATGTAAATAAAATGTTAAGTTTTAAGTTAAAAATTATTTAATAAGTAAGAATTGATTGTTAAATTCATATGACTATATAGTGTTCTAGGGAGTTCAGTGATGTAGATAGTAGTTAGTTTATATTGAAAAGGATCCGAACCAAGAAAGGATCAAAACATATTGAAGATTATAATAAAGGACTTATTTACACAATTACATCTGGTGTATAGACTCAAATAGGCACTAAACACATTTTGGATTTATTTATAGGGTAATTATTTAGAAAATAGAATACTCTTCTCCTACCTAAAATCTTAATAGAAATATACTTTGCCAACGCATTTTCACTCAAAATGGAAAAAAATCTGGTAGAAAAATGCAACAGTCAGCCTCTGAATCGAGTTATTAAGCATAAGTTTGAGACTTTAGAGATTAAGATATCTGTCATCCCGACTCGATACAGCACTATGTATACATTCTGCTTTAATTACATAAATTCACTGCTTTAAGCACACAATTTTTTGTATTAGCAGTGAATTCGTGTTTGTGAAGCAGAAAATTTATGTGATTAATGCAGATGCAGAACATATACCTACATAGCGCTATATCGAGTCGGACTGACAGATCTCTTAACCTCTAAAGTTTTAAACTTGAATGCTTAATAAAATCAATTTACGAGGCCGACCGCCGCATTTTTCTGCCAGATTCTTTCGTTTCGAGTGAAAACGCATCGATGAAGCATATTTTTGTTAAGATTTTAAGTGGGCGGGGAGTATTCTAAATAATTATCATGTATAGTTGCATTAATACTTACTTTTTCAGTTCGGGTAACTCATTGTACATTTTGGCACAATCAGATGATTTGACATCAATTTTTAATCCTTGATCACCAGATTTTTCATATGACAAATGCGACACCTTCTCTGGTCGTACCCAAGTAATTTTGTAATCGGCTACAGCAGTAGCGTATTTTCTTGAAAGGTTACCACCGTTTGTCAACAAACTGGTGGCTATCCTCGTCATTTGCTTATAATTGATTATCATTATATTCATACTTTCCTACCCTTCTTTTAATTATATGTATATGCAATAAAACTTGAAGGTATTTGGATTCTTCAACGAACAAATTGGAACAAATGTAAACTCAGCATCGATATTTCAAACTATAAAGCGGGGAGCACAGACTCTTGCATAACGCATAACACATGAGGCATAAGAAATTGAACCAACCAGAGTTCTCTATTACATGGAAGGGAAAGAAACGGAGAACTTCGATTGGTACATATTCTTATGCATAACACATAACACGTAATGCATAAAAAAATGTGCCAATCGAAATCCTTCATTTTCTTCCTTTCTATGAAATAAAGAAACTCTGATTGGTTCAATTTCTTATGCCTCATGTGTTATGGTTACTGCACACTGGACGCGATGAGCGATGAGCGACGAGCGATATCCAATGAGAGCTTTGCTTTGCGACGTCACGTGAGAAAAAGCAGAGTTTTTATTGGATATCGCTCGTCGCTCATCGCTCATCGCGTCCAGTGTGCAGTAGCCATTATGCGTTATGCAAGAATCTGTGCTCCCCGCTTAAAACAGGGTCTACAATAGAAGACGTAGCAGTCGTAGAATCTTAAGTCGTAGAAAATTAACCAATCACAATAGAATATGAGAAGAATAATCGACTATTAGCGTTTTCGGCCCGATCGGGTTTGCACCAATCTGGGTTGGATTAATCTTTCCTATTGGTTGATATCACACGCAACATAACACGTAATGCATAAAAAAATGTGCCAATCGAAATCCTTCATTTTCTTCCTTTCTATGAAATAAAGAAACTCTGATTGGTTCAATTTCTTATGCCTCATGTGTTATGGTTACTGCACACTGGACGCGATGAGCGATGAGCGACGAGCGATATCCAATGAGAGCTTTGCTTTGCGACGTCACGTGAGAAAAAGCAGAGTTTTTATTGGATATCGCTCGTCGCTCA